ATGATACAGTATACAATGTACAGACATACATACAGACATACAAGTACATAGTATACAAAGTGCAGCCATCCATACATACATACACATACAGCCCGCGAAAGATTTGTAATAAGAATACCAATAAAGATATATTACATATATCACTGCAATATAATATACGTATTGTATGTTATATGCACTATGACTTTAATTTTTCCTTTTTCCAAAGGACATTTTAAATACTTAGTTTTTAAGGATATACTAGGAAGAGAGTGATGGAGACATAGTAAGGAATAAGAGATTCAGAAATTGAGTAGAAACGTTTAGTGGCAGCAGACAGGGAAGATGTTGTTGAAGGGGAAAAGAGGAAGATTGTTAAAAAGAAAGAGTGAAGAAGAGAGATGCTTGAGAAAGAGAGTGATGGAGACATAGGAAGAAATAGGAGATTCAAAAATTGAGTAGAAACGTTTAGTGGCAGCAGCCAGGGAAGATGTTGTTGAAGGGGAAAAGAGGAAGATTGTAATGACTGAGAGAATACGGGGCAAAGATGATGCGGAAAGCGTATGCATGAAGACCAGATTAGCGACTGCGAGTACCGAAAAGTAATGGAATTTTTTGATAGTGGCCCTATCGCAATCTAACCTGTACCAGCCTCTTCTATGGACCATTCTGACTTTCCGTATTCTTTCAAAATTTCAAGGAAAAAGCCCTAAACCCAGCCGTTTTCGAGATACAGCCTCCCAAAGATGCAATTTCGAGTATTTTCAAAATTCAAGAATAGACTGAGGCCTATGTAACCGTATGCTTTTCAGGATAATAAATATTAAGGCAGGATGTACAGAGTAAATAAGAATATCGGGTAACATAGGGCTAAGCAAATGACTAAGAGAATTAATTTTTTTTTGTAGAAGGTTGTATTGACAAAGGAAAAGCGAAGTCAGAATACGGATAATATGGCAGAGATGGAATGGAAATAATGATAGAGAAAAAGGAGCATAGCAGGAAAGGGGTGTCGAAGCATAAGGCAGGAGGAGGAGGAAAAGGATGCTGTTATGATGGAGGAGAGTAAGTGAGAGACAGAACTCATTGGTACTCTGGGATATTCGCAGAGGGAAAAAGAATATCCACGTATAAGTGTTTCAAGACAATTTATTCGACAAATACGATAATGATACAGTATACGAAGTGCAGATGTATGTATGTACGTATATGGTTTACGAAATATTAACAATAAGAACACCATTAGAGATATATTAAAATATATCAATGCAATATAATATACGTGTTGTATGTTATATGCGCTAGCACTTTAGACTTTTCCTTTTGGCAACCTCCGACGACACCATGGTCTATACGTGTAGCTACTCTAACAGGGTGACTATTCTTATATGACTACTCGAATGAATATGCTCGACCAGACCAAAGGAATAGGACAAGCAAGACAAGCACAATGCAGAGTGAGGGGGAATAGAGCCAAAGAAGGCATAAAGAAGAATAGAAAGGATCAAGTCAAGAAGTAGAGAGTTAAGGAATAAAATTATGAAAGTAAAGAAGAAATAAAGAGAGAGACAAAGAAATAAGAAAGTGAAGAAATATGGGAGTAGAAAAGGAAGGAATGGATGTATACAAATATAGAAAATAAGGCAAGTAACCAAGCAAGTAAGAAAGAAATAAATATAGAAGAAAAGGGAGGACAGGAATAAATAAGACGGGAGTATCCAAGAGACCGGTATAGGAGACCGGCCCGTGGAAGAATGCTCTTTGAGTGATCCTCCCACTCTCCGAGTCCTGCGCGGCAAGTCTGCGTGGACAAATTTAACTACTTTCAATATTTCTAATCATTCCTCGCTGTGTTTCCCGATATTTCTCCTCCTGTTCCATGTTTTTCTCTTCTGTACAGCTATTATCTGGATAATTTGCACTGGGAGTGACAACTCACACCAATTATGGCCTAACAATCGGACCACTATCCACAGCCACTGCTGAAGTTTAATTCTTCGAATGTTAACACATTCACATTCATGGTCACTCCTTCCCACTCTTCCTTATCTACTGTGGAAACGATGATAACTTACCATACAGACAGGCATCGCGGTTTGCCTACCACCAGGCGCAAACATTACAAACTAATAACCCTCACTACGCCACAGTATTTGGCAGGAGTTTGAAAGGCACGAATGAAGAATAAAGAAATCCTAAAAGAAGCACAATACATTTTTAAAGTTAATGCATTTATTGTAGTACCACGTTTAAGATTGCATGTTACACACACTATCCTCCCATTCACAATCTATCTATTCCTCCCGTCTCCATTTTATACAATCATATTTAATTACAATACGTAATTACCGTTGCGCTTTAAAATTCGATCCGTTATCAAACCGAGTGGCAGCATGTACCCATCAGTTTCATGAACGTCAGTATATCACTTTCCCCACTCATCCCACTAACCCCGAGCAGTGTCCATAGAGACGTCGCACGTGATTTCCCAAGGCGTCGCGACGCGGTCAACGTGAACGACCTTCAATAACCCCACAAGCCTCCGTTCCAATAGCAAATTAGCGTAACGTCGTACGCACACACGCGCATCCATACACACACGCACGCTGCTCACCCAACTACCAATAGAGAAAAACGCAAGCAGGATTTTTATTATTTAATTGTAAAGTTGCGAAAAATAAAATAAGGGAAATGACTTTAATTAGAAATTACAGACTTCCCGATGATTAAAGAGACACGGAGCAGAGGTGTATGGTTCGACGAAGTGTGAAGAATAAATAAAGTGATACACGACATTCTCACATTTAACATAACACCAGTGTATATTGTGTCACAACTGGGATACATAATATTACAATGGTGCATAATAAAATTCTATACATATGTTCCTTCCTCTTTGTCTATCTAAATTGTAAATCATACTTTTGTAATCTTATATAACCTTTCTATTTTACTTTATTTTTTTTATGTTTCCATCACCCCTACTTCGCTCTGAACCCGAAGCGCCGTCCGATAATCAAACCCGTGGGAGAATAGCAAAGGAGAATATTTTATAATTGCGCATTGAATCCGACTCGACGAGCGTCGTTGTCCTCGTCGAACA